ACGTTGGAGCCAGTTGGATGTCAAATGCCACGTAAGCCATGACAGAGCTCAGTTAATGAAGGGGCTAATTTGCTTCTTATGTGGGGTTTCGAGGGCTTATCTACCACCTTTTTAGTTCAAGAGCTTATCACTAGCGGTTGAAAAAGTTAAGAGGCGCAACATGGGTTTTTGCCAAAAAAAAAAAAATTATACTCATCAGGACCAACGTATTGCTGCGCGTGCTCCGTAGCATATTATTAAAAACAAGAAAAAACCCTTCACGTGTTTTTCTGCCGGCCTTCCAGCATTGAATTCTGACGCAATTTGGACTTTGCTTTGGAGCCATATAGGCTGCTGTGTAGTGCGCCCACCCAGTTTATCTCTATCCTGATAATGGACTCTGACGTAAATTTTTTTAATAATCAGATACAAACGTTAGTGAGCTTGGGGCCCACATCATGGAGGGGCTATTGTTGTCGAGTTTTATTTTATTTTATTTCTACTAAAGACAGAACCAATGCTTTGGATCCGCTTTAGGCTCGCAACTTTTCTTTGTGTGGAGGTGGCTCCACAAGACCCCGCATCGGATGGGATGCTACCAGAAAATCAAAGCACGCTCAATTCGTCTATCGTCCTAGTGAGGTCCACGTACGACCTCACAGTGTAATGTGAACAGTAACAAAACAATAATGCGGTATTGCAGGGAATTGTTTTAAACTGAAAAAATAGAAGTGTAGTCAAGTTTGGAGGATTGCACCATGAGGAAAGTTGAGGAGATTTTCTTTAATATTTTTTTTAGATAAAAAAATAAAAAGCGTACCTTACTGGTGGTGCCAAATTGATTGTGTCCTGGTATTCTTTGGTACAAGGCCTCTGTATTAATTTCATCGATCGATGATGTCTTCAGCATCGTAAGCAATGTCTTCTAGGTAAGGTTGTTAAAATCGAGATTTTATCTAAAATCATTTTAGTTAAGTGAAATTGAAATCATAAAATCGAATCGATAAAATCAAAATTTTATAAAATTTAATATATAATA